ACTGCACATTTAAGGAACTATATAGCCAGTTCAAAAGGTTGCATGATCAAACAGACAGAGCGTGGCCTCACACAGGCCACACTCAGAAGATTCACTGAGAAACAGATCTGAGCACACGCACGCATAAACACATACAACGCACAGCCCCCTATCGGAGAGGATTTGGTTTCAACATTGTCACAGAGAATTCCCCTTAGGGAAACATTTTTGCAACGAACAAAAGTCAGACTGTATTATTGTGCTCAGCTATTGCTTTTACCGGGTCAGAGAGGACGGGCTGCTTGTAGAGCACGAACAGCAAGACTCAGCTGATTTTGATCAGTTCCTGTCCTGACTTGACATTAATTTGGACTGCAGAAATAGGGCTGCTTCATGTTGTAGAAAATCAAACATCATAACAACAGAGGAACACAAACACAATCACATTTTCACAGAATGATGATATCATTTTTAAAAGAACAACAGCTTTTGCCAGAAAAAAGAAAGAAAGAAAGAAACATGGGCCAGTGGGAATAAGTGCGTGAATTTTTAGGGGAGAGAAAAAGTTGCTCGGGCAGAATAAAAAAACAAAAACTAATTTAAAGCAAACTTTTGTTTTCTATTTTTATGCCCTTCTTACATACTCTGCAATTAAATCCCAGAGGCAGCTTTGCAAACCTGAGCTTTCTTCTTAGAGAGAAAAGGTTTTCGGTTGGCAGTGGGTCCAAACAAGCCATAGTTCGTCACTGACCTCTGATTGTATTGAAACAAACCTTCATACTTAACATGTGGTCTAAGGCTTGAGAAGTCTGAGGTGTAGCTTTTGAGTTAACACAATTCTGCTAAGCGTTGCACGGTCTGCTCGGAATGTTCTCTGCTTATGAATGACCTTTCTCGCTTTTGAGTGATGGAATCAGAATTGTCTTAAAATAGCCTCATGACCGCCAGCAGTAGATTGATGAGTGGGAACAACTGTCTCTCAAGGAACATTGCCGATGTCCTATCTCCTTGACATCGTGCAACTGACAAGCGGACTACCAAAACATCTGCTTTTATAGAAGTGATCAAACCTACTCACAATCAAGTAAACTTGGCAGCTTGATAACATGGCTGAAATTCACCCTCTTTATTTTCTTGTGATGTAGTCAGAGTACCGACCTTGTTTTCATGTCTTGCTTCTGCATTTTGGTTCTCTTTTTCATTGCAGTGAGACATGTGGCCTCTCCTAAAAGCCCTCGCTGGTTTGTAGTGACAATCCATGTTCCGCTGGCTAGGTGGGGACATGAAAAAACACAGATACTCATGTTACTGTGTGCTATTCAACAACATCTGTAACTTTTCAGAAATTCATAAAGTGGATATATTCTTCCCCCTTCGAAAAAAAGATTCTTTCACCATCAATCCGGACTGGCATCGCTGCTTAATTTGCATGTAAATGGCAAGCTTATCGTCCACAGAAAATTCATAAACACAATAAAAACCGGCTGGTGTGTTTGATTTGGCCACATCTGGCCAATTGAGATGAGATTTATAATGCTGGAGGTCTAGCCCAGACTGCGTTGGGTATCATCGCCCCTGTGCTGCAGTGTTTGTATAGTCCAAGGTTAAATATTTGAGGAGCACATGTGTGGATGAATGGTGGCACAGGATTTCATCATAAAGCTGAGAAGGATGAGCCAGCGGGGGGTCATTTTAACAGTAGTGTCAACACCATGAGATCCCACCTCTGTCGACTCAGCAAACAGTACATCGCAGACACTCTGAAAGGTGGTGATGACTGCTTTCTGGAAAAGGCGGATAGTTTTCTCAGAACACGGTTGATAGTGCCAACAGACCTTGGACATCCTCCCTCGTTTGTCCTGTATAGTGCATCCAAAGTAACCGTCACAGGAGAAATGTGGCAGTGCAAATCAACCAGCGCGGCCAGGCGGAGTGGACAGCAGTTAAAGAGCACGGCAGCTGCTTTCCTTTCACAGAGTTGGTCTTGACACGGCATTACCCCTGTGTCCACAATGTCATTATGCAATCCGCAGCATCTTCCACATTAGTCTTAGCCAGTCACTTTTGCTTTTGTGCCTATGATGGGGGATTTGATCACCGAATCACTGCCACAGTGTTCCTCTTTCCTTATTTCTGAAATGTTTCTATAGTCAGCACCCCTGTCCATTCTCAACCTCAGACGTACCCAGAGCTGCTGCTTCTGCAGAAGAAAGCTTCAAACGGGGAAACGTGTCTGGAAGTTTCCATGATCCCACTCACCCAGTGTACTGAGCAAAAGCCACATCAAGTTGGCTGTCAGCTGACTGCTGCGTGGGTTACTGTTTGCCCAGCCTAACTGTCTGTGGACATCCAACGCAACTCAAACATCATCACCTCTCAGGCCACCTGCCTCACCTTCTGCACACAGAGTTTCAATCCTGCAAGAAGTCTCAGCTCTCTGACTAAAAGACCACTTCAAAACGTAACGACTCTGATCTGCTTTAGAGCGCTTTTCAGAGAGTAATCAAGTTGTTTCAAACATTTCAACTCACAAGAAAGAATAATTTTCTTTTCTTTTCTTTTTTTTTTTTTACTGCTCCGGCTTGAGCGCCTTCACCTTCAATGCAGCTGGCCATTCTGCACTTCTCATGCTGCAGTGGGCTCCATTTTCCGAGCCATTTGAAATTTGTGGTCAGTTTTCTCTCTGGTTCTTGCCGTCTCTCTTGCACCATGGAGCGACTCATTTCCAGGCATCACTCAGCCACCCAAACATGCTGCGCAGCACGCCTCCGTCTCCCTCATTTGTCTTTTCTGTTGTGCGTTCTGCTGGGGGTTTCCATGCAACTAACCGTTTCCAAAACAGGCACCTGCACCACCTCACCCTCTGACGTCGACACGCTGCCAGGAGGAGCAAAATGAGAGGAACTGTGTTCACAGAAAAGTCGGTTCTTGGAAGGCATGGTGGGAGGAAAAAGGAGGTAGTTGATGATGCCTTGAGACACATTGATTTTGTTTATTTTAATGGCAGAGAAGGGACTGCATACAGCTCTGTTTTTGCGGTCTGACTGGGTGCCAGTCACAATTTCTAAGATACAACAAAGAGGTTTTAAAGATGCTCTAAAAGGAAATATAAATAATCACACAAGATGTGCCTCGACTCCAACGCCACATCATCAGTGATGTCAGCTTTTCAACGAGCTTTAGTTTAAGCAAGGAAAAGAAAGTCCTTTATCTAATATCATGTACCTGTGAGAACATTAAAAGCACCCGAAAACATATAAAGAAGGGCCTTCTGACCCTGATGCTGCCTTTTATTTGAAAGTGATGCGACTTTGTAACATATGTTAGTTACTTTAAAACCTTTCATTTTTGCTCTTCCTCTCAACTTGCATTAGCATTATACCATAAGATATTTCTTTATCTATAGTTCTGTTTCATTTCACTGTAGAAATCTGCCCATTGAGAACAATTAAACAGATGACACACAATGAATCATTCACCAATCCCTCACAGACCTTTTTAGAAGGTGCTGCTTTCCTAAACATTGTTTTTAAACCCTAAAACAGTCTTCAGCGCCAATTCATCATGATCAATTTCTGTATTTAAAACTTGCAATGGGCGTACCCCGCCTGTGAGTGGTGTCATCTGGGATGGGCTCCATACCCCCCACCCTCCATCCTACACCCCGACTCCAACCACTGGAGCTGAATTACGTACATTTTGAAAATGGATGGACAGATAGAAAAAAGCTTTAAAAAAGCTTGTATTCTGCCAACAAGGTATTTCTACATGTCAACAGCTCATGTTGATGTAGTGGTTCAGTTACAGAATGACAGCATTCATGAAACTTGTAGTGGACTTTTTTCATTTAAACTTTTTTTTCTTTCATAAAAGACAAAGAAACAAAGATGTGTCATTAGTATCAGAAATGTGTCCTCTAAAAACTATTTTCCCATTTGCCAAACCTTTCTGTTTATGATTCAGATTTTGTCCGGCCAAAATAAAGCGTTCTTTTTTATTAGCTCAATTAATCATTTTGGTTGCAAATTTCCACAAACAAATGGATTCAACACTCCATTTTGAATTATTTACAATACAATGGGTTGCCATCTCACTGAATACTTGAAGCACATAGAAGTTTGCTGAGTGTCGGTCAAAATTCTCTTCCAGGTCTCATATTGAAAGGGATTGTTTAAGGAAACATTGTCCTCTAGTGGAATAAATATGCAAGCACCATTTTTCTGATGACAAAAGTAGACTTTCAGGCTGTAACTTAATGAACGACTGTGGTTTATATAGTCTCTTTTTTGGATTTTATACAATATAGTATAAATGACCATTACTGCTATGAAACACCGGTAAAACTGTCAGGCCATTTCTTTGGTTTCAGTCATTTTAGGTTTTATGTCTCTTAAAAAACATCCTCCTTGATGCGCTGTGATGGTTCACACTAATCCATGCACCCAAAAAATGGAATTTACTCACTTTCCTACAGTACAGTGGAAATTATGGATCCAAACTTAATTTGTGACTTTGGGTGTGATTACAACTGGAGTAAAAATGACATCATCTGAGTTCCTATTTTCAACATAATGATTTTTCCAAAGCTTGAATGCAAGTATGAGCTAATGCTTTTTTGACATCTCGATTCTCGTGTGGGTTTAACACGTGTGAGGGATTTGTTTGACAGCCCCGCTACCCTGCCCCCTTGGACACAGAAAACAAAGGCAAGGCTTTGTTGAAAAGTCCCTGTGTCTGTTTTATGTGAGTCTGAGCTCACGTGAGGAGGAATTTGAATCAAAGCTTAGCATATGTTAAATGTCAGCTCTGGCCTGGAGGGCTCTGACTGTGCAAACAGATTACTGTAGATATTGACTTTCAGCCAGGGCCTGGGGAAATGTGAGTGCCTCTTCTCTAGTTTTCCTCTTAAATCTTGTTTTAAAACCTGTTTGACATGTGATAGCTCATTAAACTATGCTTATGAATTTTCTTATGCCATTCTCGATTACACTTAAATGCCAGAAAAACACAGGAGGCTGTTTGGGAGCATTTTAATTCCTGACAGATGTTGGGCACAATTGTCCACATATGCAAGTAAGACTGTGAAAGTATTCATTCAGCAATTGTTAAACGGAGAATCAATCATACCTTGCATCATCAGTGATGTGGAGCAATAAAAGTGATGACAAAAGATGGCTAGAAAGTTGTTTTTTCTTATTTGTACAGCCAGATTTAAAAGTACTTTGACAACACGACAGATCAGAAAGTTTAACATTGTCAAATTTCTTTACAGAAAAAAGACTGTGGACTTTGGGTGTACTTGCTTTTAATGTTTCAACCTGCAAATATCAATCCCAATGAAACAGCAAATGACAAGCACAAGTTAGGAAAAACATGTTGGAATCTTAGTAACAGTTTAAGCTCACATTTAGATGCCTAAAATTTCTGGTGCTTTTGAACTTCCAGTCAGTTTAAGTTGTGTGACACGGCCTTTGCATTTGTTTAAATCCCCTTTTGTTATGCTATCATTGCAGGTATAAATAATTGTACTTCTTTTTTAGGTTTGGTAGTCACGTGCAGTCACATGGACCCTATTACAGTATGTAGACTTTTACTGCTCTCATCTTTGTATACATACAAGCCAGCACACACACCTCCTACCAAAGCATAGCAGGAGAACACTGTCCTGTTCACGGGCCGTCAGACCAACTTTGGTATGTGACTGAAAAGAATGCAAAACATGCAAAGGAACAAGCATGGCCCTTGAAGTCAGTCCTTTGCTTTGTACTGCAGCTGAATGTGTGGATAAAAGTGCATTTTATACAACAAGCAACGCAGAAAATAATTATGGTTGGTTCAGTTGTGTTTTGCTGATGTTTGTTGACTGATTGCCAGGGCTTACATTTTTTATTGTGCACTCTTTCTTTCCCTAACCATCCCCGACTCCCTCAGCTGAAGAAAGTCAGCCTCCTTTTCATGTAGTGGAAAGCGAGGTATGAAGCTCCCCCCAGAATCCCTATCAGCAGAGTGGTACCGAATATGACCGGTGCATTCTTCCTGGCCAATCGGAACGCCACGGGCAGGACGGCAGAGATCAGGATGTTGTTGACGTGACCCAGGACTCTCCTGAAGGCCGGCCGCTCCACCACCCTCTCGTAGTATGTTTCCACGTTGACGCGGTTACCATTGCCCCAGTAGCGGCGGGAGAGGCCGAGGAACTTCAAGCGGTGTAAAGTGACCGCTAAAGAGACGTCGGCCATGCTGAAGAAGTCCCCACAGAGCCAGGAGGGGCTGCCGTCTTCTAAAAATGGAAGGAAGTGAGAGGCAAGCATTATAGAGGTAATGAAATCACATTTCTGGTGTGATTTGTTATGTTTCCCAACTAAAGATGAACTGCGGTTTGCAAAGTGACAAGATTGTGCGGATACCTGGAGTCTCCTCCACCCTTCTCTGTAGCTCTGTCTCCACCTGGTCCATCACACTTTCAAGTTCATCCAGAAGCTTCTTCAGGTACTTCCTGTTGTCATGGTCAAATAACTTTGACTAGAAAGATATTTGCAAGAAAATTATTGATGGGGAGAGCATTACTAACTTTTGCTATTGACATACCACACTTTCAGACATAGCAAATATAAAATAAATATTCAAAAACAAGAAATATGTCCCAACTACTACAACTACTATTAAAGTTGTAAGGAGTAACAAAACTTATCAGATGTTATGCAGGTGTTTTTTTAAAAGGGGGAGGCCATGCTTTCACGACCTAAACAGATCTGGAAATTGGAAAGAGTAACTCTAATTTTAACAAGAAGTACTTAACCATAGAAACTAATAGTTATAACACGATTATACCTTACAAGGCTCAGTAAACCCAGGAGCCCCATTTTATGCTAACTAGTGAACAAAACTTCTCAACCCAGTCTGAGTGGGGTATGACCACCCCGTGTGTGAACTGCACAACTCTACCTGTCTACCAGGTCTAGCTGGGGTTTTTGTCCTGTTTCCATGGTTGATTGTCTTCCCTAATCACCAATTGCTTTCACCAGGGGTTCCTTTCCCCTCATGTGTCAAATAGTCTGCGTTCCTCCTTGTTACGTGCCAGTGTGTTTTGTCTTTTGACCTGAGCATGAACTTTGACTTTGACCCAAGCCTCGTCTTGAACCCTTCCTTGCTTTTCCTCGTCTGAGTGAGTTTATTTTTGTACAGTAGTAGCCTTGCATCCTCGTTATCGAGCGTGATTATTTTGTACTTTGTTAGCCCCTTTGATATCCTCGTTTCCAGAGTCATTATTATTTTGTACTTTGCCTTGCCTTTCCACTCCCAACGAGTGCGCCTTTATTTAAAGGTATTGGGTAGGTATCTGAGTCCTGCCTTGAGTTCCGATTCTGACAGTTTTAGTGCTGCTTTTCTTTGCATCAGTTTCCAGAAAATCATTTTTTTTCATTCTTTTAGTGAGCTGTAGTGGGTCACAAGTCATATTTCATGTAACATCATTTAAAATTTCCTTACACGTATGACTTCCTTTCTCTCTCACTCTCTGTTCCCCTCCATACAGCAGTTGATGAAATGCTATACCGTATAATAGTAACCTGAAGTCCAGTATATTATGAGAAAAGACTAAGATTTAATATTTGCGGTTACAGATAATAAGTCTGCATATTTTTAACCCTGAATAGGAAAAGTCTCATTTGTATTTTAGATATGGGGGATTTTAAGCTTGTTGCTGTGTCTAAAAAAACAGCATGTACAATCTGTATCACAGCACCTCTCTTCTGACCTTTTTCAATCTAAAATTGTTTTAATCTTTCACTTTGCTCACTACATAAATGGTGCCTTTGGAAATTCTTCAGTCTAATGTCCTAACCAGGACATCAGCAATACTTTCTGCTGTCTCACTAGTCTGTTTGCTTTTGTGTTTAGTGACATTATGAAATGCGTCTTATGTAGAGAAAGGTGAATGAATCTCCATAGAAGAGTGCTGCAAGTAATGGTCCATCTTGATTACAAAGACCACCAAATAAGAAGCGGAGCACACCGAGAGGGAAGCAGCAGCCTTTCATGGATAAAGCCTTTAACAGAAAGCTTCTGCAGCATTTCAGAACATTTGAGCTCATCTGACACTCTGCCAATCGTGCTACTTACTTTCAGGCGCCTTTGTTTTGCTATATAAGCATCTTTAAGCTCTGGGTTCTGTTCAGCCAGTTTCTCCAGCTCGGACTGTGTGTTGCTGATCTGTGCTGTCAATGGAGAGAGAGAGAGAGAGAGTGAGAAAATGATAGGATTTTTTAGCATAAGGAGACTGGCATCAAATGTCATCATCTATCAACAATCATTTGTATCAGCTTGGAGTCTTTTTTTTACAAGCACAAAATAAATCAATTTAATCTGCTGTTTTTTCCAACTTTAATAAGACGTGTAAGTAAAGCAGGAAAGAATAAAATGTTGTCAATAATATTTCAGAACAGGTGAAAGTGAAAGTAGCTCACACAGCAATGACAATGGGTTTATTTTCTTTTGTAAATGTAAGTAGGTCGGAAAATATTGAAAATGTGGACAGTTAGAAACAAATATTGTGTCATCAGGGCAAAAAAGCTATTGATGCAGTAAGACTTCAGGGGTAATGCAGTCTTACTTCGTATGGATGTGGCAGCATATTTCGGGATGTGGGAGTCCACAGTGATCTCGGGATGCAGGATGCAGCCATGTGTGTAGGCATCCATTGGTAGTGAGTCCAAAAGCTCTCTGTAGTGCTGCACTCTGAGATAGTACCTGCTGCCCTCCTCAGGAACCAGCTTGGGAGTGCCTTCTGGAGACAAATATCATTTGTTGTTATTGAACAAAAATAATAAACTAAATGGGTTGATGAAATTTCTTATTTATTTATTGTTATACTTTTTTGCCATGGGGTAAAATAAGGGTTCAACTAACACAACAGAGGAATTTAGCACACGTTTAGCTGTGGGAAGGTGATGTATGTCTCACTATTGAAACGCTTTGAGGCGTCAGCTAAAGTAGCTTTCTGCTCACCAGATTTTCCTCCTTTTAAGTCGACGGTATGCAGATTCTTAGAAAACTGCTATCATGGATATAAACCAAAGTCAGAACAAAATTAAAAACACAACTTGACACGTGTGCAGTGCAAAAATAAAAACAGGCCAAAGAATAAAAACACAACAAAGATGGTCAAATAAAAATGATCTGTTCTAACTGACTAAGAACATAGGCAAACAGCTCATCATGCCTCACCATCATTAAAGTTCTGCTCCAGGTAGTCCATTATCTGCGTCGGGTCACAGATGACGCTGTCATTGTGGACCAGGACTGGGACCTCACCGGTGGGATTCAGGTGCATGAACCATGGCTCGTTGTGTTCACTGAGAGGCAGGCTCACGTCATACTCTTTGCAACACAAACCTTTCTCGGCTATGGCCAGACGTACCTGAAAAACAAGAGGAAAGACTTTCTGTACACGTTCAGAGGTTCTTTCTCCTCTGCTGTGCCAATTAGTTTTTAAAAAAACTAAATAGATAGAAAAAATGTATATTGGTGGCAATAATAACAACAGATACAAATATGCTGCGGGGTATTTTAAAGAGGCAAAGGGAGAGGGCGTCATGTGGAGCTGTGGGAATGGTGTGGGTGCTGATGAGAGTCTGATGGGATGCTGTCCACCGGACTGTGGTGCTGAAACCGGGAGACGACAGCTCACCTTCTGGGAGTTGAAAGACTGAGTCCAGTGATAGAGCGTCAACTTCGACTCCCGTTTGGCAACAACTGTGCCGCCCTGCTCACGGACATCCTGCTCAGGGTCAGTCTCCGTTGGAGCTGCCTTCTCATCTTGTGACTCGGAGCCGTTCTCGGACGCCATTTTAGCTGAAAGCATCCAGCAGGGAGCGTCAGTGTGACAGCTGCTCCCCCCGCTGGACAGGAGTGTAACTCAAAACATGAGCTCTTTTTTCTTTCTTTTTTTTATTTGTAATTATCTTGTTTTTCTCTTACGTCGTTTAACTCTTTCCCCTAAAAATAAATGAGGGTGGGAATGCATTATTGCTGAGTATCAATCCTCTGTTTCAAGACGACCAAGAATAAAATAAGTTTCAATGTTTCCTCCCTTTTTTCCGTCTGTCCTCCCCTTAACAATCTTGTTTTAATCATTGTTTGTTCTGTCATACAAAGATTTAACAGCTAAATTTAGTTACCATTCTTAGAAAAAATAACATAATCATTAACGGTCAAAGTGAGATGTGAGATAGACACTTGTTTTTCAGTTGTGCAAATGAAAAGTGATCTGACAGGCGTAAATATTAAGTAAATAATAAGTAATAAGTAATAATAAGTAAAATTGGCTCCCAAAGAGAAACCATCTGGAAGTTAATTTAGCATGCTGTGCAGTCTGTTTTTAAAACAAAAAAAAGACAAAGGAAGAAGTGGCAGGCCTAAACATTCAAATATGGCATTGAACTATTTTTAATCACCCAAAAACATTTTTTCTATGTTGCCAAAGTAATTGTATTATATCTATATTTACATGCCGTAACAGGCACAAAAATCTGACTATTTATTGTCACTGATCTAACACTGTTTTGTCACTGTAACTGAATACTTTAAAGAGGTTCCGTTCAAATGTTTGTTGTTTTTTCTCATTTACAATTGCAGCATAATCAAATGTTAAATTTGAATTAATCAGAAATCAACTTTCTGAAACTCTTGCAATGAATGAGTTTGTACAGCAGAGGTAGGTGTTGTGCTTTTGTTTTATTCTTGATCCTCAGTTGGTCAGTTCAGACCAAAGGTCCTTAAGTTCTCACACTAAAGTCACCACTTAGGAGCTTATTCAAGCAGATTTGTTGAATAAAGACTGTTAAAATATGTATTTAGTCCATGTCCTTGTTGTATTAAGTTGAATATTGAGGGTTAATGGAATCATGATTAAGATACTGGTTAGTTGGAAGTTTGAGTTGATTAGAGGTAGAAATATTTCACAAACTCTCAAACATTCTCTCTGTATGTTCATTTGTAATATACGACCATAGTTTATTCATCATTACAAACTAATGCAATTGTGTGAGTAGGCCCTAATCCATCTTCTGCCGGAATTTGCACCTGTGTGGAGCTACGCGCGTCTTTCAAATAAGAAGAGTTTGGCTTGAATATAAAGGGTCCTCATTTTGGTCGAGTGAAGGCATCAGGGCCCCTCACCGAGGGAGTGACAGGGATGCGGGCAGAGGATAGAGTGGGAGGTCCCTGGGCCGTGACGTTGAGATTGGCCCCGTGCCTTCCTTCAGCAGGGTCTCCATACTTCTCTCTCTCTCCCTCTGTGATCAGTGGGTGAGAGGGGGGAGACGAGCAGTACACAGCGGACAATCCGGCGTGCGCCTCCGGTAAATGACGCCCACCATTCATACCTTTACGCTTACCATTACGCATGCCTTTTGAATTGTGTGTCGGTGTCTGGAAGCACCAGTCCACTGCCCTCACCCTCCTATTTTCTGATCCTTTAGTCATCCTCCTGGTGGCTCGTCCGTTCATCACACCGCCGGTCCTGGATCATCCAACCTCGGTCCTGGAGACGCCTGAGTCTGCAGCAGCGCGCGATCGGCTTTATTTCCAGCCTTTATCTGAATGACGGGCGGAAGGTTTGACTTCGATGACGGTGGCACTTACTGCGGGGGTTGGGAGGATGGCAAAGCCCACGGACACGGCATCTGCACCGGACCCAAGGGCCAAGGCGAATACGCCGGGTCCTGGTCGCACGGCTTTGAGATAGTGGGGGTCTACACCTGGCCCAGCGGGAATACCTACAAGGGCTACTGGTCCCAGGGGAAGCGGCACGGGCTCGGCGTGGAGAATAAGGGAAAGTGGATATACCGAGGGGAGTGGAGTCATGGTTTTAAGGGTCGATACGGGGTCCGACAGAGCCACAACACACCTGCCAGATACGAGGGTACCTGGAGCAACGGACTACAGGATGGATATGGAGTCGAGACCTACGGCGATGGCGGTAAGACAAAAGGTTTTAGGGATGGGGCACGGCGCTTGTTGAATGTGCGTGTCGCTTTAACTGATGATGTGCTATGGAGCTGGAGTGTAGGATGCTTAGGATCCAACCGAATTAAGCTAAAGGTAACGCACCAGAGCGCCTATCTCCGTCTGATAGCTCAGATTGTGCGTTCTTGCTCCATGGTCAAGAGCATCGTAGTTTCCACCCCTAAACGGCCATTAAAGTCAGGTGACATTCTTTTATTTATTTATTTTAAATCCTGCTTGTGGTTATGGCTCCACGTTTATTTTGAGGAGCATCTGAATTGGTAACTACCGGTTGCTTCTGACAGTGGAAGGAGAGAGACTCCTCAGTGGCACTGTGCCTGATGAATAAGTGGTTGGGAAATCAAAGCAAGTCATTCCATTTTAAAGCAACATAAAACGTCCCAAAAAACATATTCCTGCATTTGAACTACTGGGGAAGAAACAAGAATCATGAGTGGAGAGAATACCTTGTATTTAAGATTATAATGTGACTTCACTCATAGAGGAGGACATGAGTCTGGAATGGAAAGATATATATATATTTTTTAGCTCCCTAATAACTTAATGGCAAACACCTCTTCAGAGCAGAAATACACATACTGGTCATCTAAGCCATTCAGCATTTCTAATTCACACACAGCCCCAGCACTCTTGGATTTGCTTAAAATGACATGTTAGTGAGCCTCCTCCTTTGGCGTGGACCCACTAACTCATATTTCTATGTAAAGACTGCATTTGATCTAGGAGAGAATATCTCACGTAGGCTAAAAAAGCAAATGCTTGCAAGTGCTTCTGTGGGCCTGCTTAGCTGCATATGGTCCCTTCTCATTACAAAATAATCAAGTCTCTGGGTGATTTGTGAGCATCATCTCCTTTAACTGTGGACTTATGGTGGGGAATAAATGCCTCATGTATGAAAGCTAGATTGCTGGGTTTGGTAAATCAGCTGATCCTACAGGATCTTCACAACATCTGGCCATCTGACCCCCATAGCATCATGATGACCTGATCTGAACTAAAATACACACCATGCCTGTTAATCTCACACATTTTGTATCAATTGCAAACGTTTTGTTAGATTATTTCATTGTGTCGCTTAATGAGAGTGAAGCAACAGATTAGTGGGCCTTTCTTATTATTAGGGACAGAAATGTAACATCATGCTTCAAAGAGGCTACAGTAGGGCAGCTCATGTTCATTGGGCTCAGCAGCACTAAACCGGATTAATGAAGTATTCTCCTCATTATATGACTCACGGCATCTCCGAGACAAATGGATGGTGGTGAATTTGCCTACTGACAGTGGCCGCCTGAAAATAGGCACGTAGCTAAGTGATTTGCAATCATCCCAAGTGATCCTCTGTATCGGTATCTTAATCAAATCTCTGCTGGTGCGTTAGCAGTGCTCACAGTCACAGATCTGAGTGAAAGGAGAGAGAAACTTTTCATCTGCTGGAAAACACCCCTTCAACAAGGCTCCTCTGTGTTCCAGCACACAATGCTGTTTTAATAACTCTGTGATGATATCAGGAAGGTGTGTGGTCATCCTGAGGCAACGAGTAAAGAGAATTGATTTAAAATAAGATGACAAGTAATTTTACACCACTAAGACTTCAAGGCTTTTGTAAAGTTAAGATACACAGTCCTGCGTAAAATCAGACATTTTCATCTGTGCCGGACCATGTGGTCCACTTGACATAATTTCAGCTTGGAAGAATTAATTAAAAGGAATTTAAAAAGTGCAATTGGTCATGTTGGTCATGTCAGCGTGAAGTTTTCTTACAATAATGCAATGTTTTATCTGATATCACATGGTTCCAAATTCCCCTCAGTAAGTTACAAGATTAGCCTGAAGGACCTTGAATTGATAACTACAGGATATTACTGACAACAGAAAGTCCACTTAGAATTAAAACGTTTACATTTCCAGTCCACTTAAATTATCCAAATGATATAAATAGTAATTCAATTGTCTTTTTGCTTCTCAGGTACCTATCAAGGCCAGTGGATGGGTGGGATGCGGCATGGCTATGGCGTTCGTCAGAGCGTACCCTATGGCATGGCCACCGTCATCCGCTCACCACTTCGTACCTCCATGGCCTCCCTGCGCTCCGAGCAGAGCAACGGTACAGTGCTCCACGACCTCTCCTCCTCTGCAGACACGCCGGCGGGCAGTCGCGGCGGCTTCGTCCTGAACTTCCACTCAGACAGCGAGGTGGTCACGGGCAAGAAGAAGGGTCTGTTCCGCCGGGGCTCGCTGTTTGGCAGCCTCCGACAGCTGCGCAAGTCTGACTCTCGGACCTCGATCTCCAGCAAACGCAGCTCGGCAAGAAGCGATGCCACCATGAGCCGCATCAGCTCCAGCGACGCCAACTCCACCATATCCATCGGTGATGGCGAGCTGGCCGATGAAGACCTACCTCTGGAGGACCATGTGGATGCCACCACGACTGAGACCTACATGGGCGAGTGGAAGAATGACAAGCGGAACGGATTTGGTGTTTCTGAAAGATCCAACGGGATGAAATATGAAGGAGAATGGCTTAACAACAAGCGCCACGGTTACGGGTGCACAGTTTTCCCAGATGCCACCAAAGAAGAAGGGAAGTACAAAAATAACGTGCTGGTGCGTGGAATACGAAAGCAGTTGATTCCTCTTAAGAACCCCAAAACCAAAGAGAAGGTAGACCGGGCTGTGGAGGGGGCACAGAGGGCTGCAGCCATCGCAAGGAGTAAGGTGGAAATAGCAGCTTCCAGGTACTGTTGTGTTTATGTGCACGTGTGTGTTCCTTCATGATCCCTCATGCATGCGGGTGTATACTGTGTAAACACAACAAAAACACAGAGAGCATCCTCGGGCATTTTTTTTTGTCACCATCGGGTAGTCACGGCAGCGGTCTGATTAAAAGGCCGTTCTTGTGTAAGAGGCGTCACATGACAGCAGCTCCGACCTTTATACATCATCAGCAGTGGAGGCTTTTGTGTTGCCAGCGCGATCATCCCCAGAAAAGGCTCTGTTTCTATTCTCTGCACGTGTTTTTCATACCCAGGGAGAAGGGTCAGGCATCTTGTGTGCGTAGTGTGCGTGATTTGTGCGTCTGTGAGTTAATGTGCGGGAGCTGTATAACCATACCTGCCCTAAAGCCAAGTATTGCTCTGATGTGGCATCTGCTCTTTAACAGGTGGATGAGATGTGACCTTTTCACTTGAAGCCTCCCTCCTGCTGGGGCTCGCAGCATTGCTGTGGCATCCTCTGGTTTCATTGCATCAGGGGATGATTCAACTGGTGATTGAATGAATGTGTACAAGCTATAGGAGGATTTCTTGTGATGCAGTTGTGCATGTTATTGTTTTACCTTCAGTCTCACAAGGGTACCACATGATTGGTCGTTAAGAAAATGCATTACCAAGTAATTATGAAATGTTTTAAAAAATAGATATATTTGATACGATAAACAGAATATGCATAGAAAATACATAAAATTCTCTCTTTGATTTAAGAAAGTTTGAAGATCAACTGTTGGCTAAAATGCATACATGTAAACACTAATACTCAGAGGAATGTCCTATGTTCCATGATTTTCAACGTGTTAAGTCACCAAACAAGCTCCTGACGTAATCAAGATGCATGAGTCTGCATCATATTTCACTTATAAACCAGAAGTTCTAAGGAAATATCAGACAGTTAAAGAAGTACTCTGCGATCAGTGTGTCGTTGCACAAAAAGCACAAATAGTAAAAGATTTCTGTGTCTATTAAAACATTCCTCTTTTTTAAAGGTTAGAATCAAGGATACATTCACTTATTGTGAGCAATATAATAAAAGCAAAGACTCTAGATAGTAGGATATTATAGTGATAATCTGATTTTTTAATAATACTATAAAGAGAAAGTTTTGTCCTGTAGATTTAATTTATATAAGCTATAGATTACATAAGGCAGATTTGGCTTGTTTGATATTAAACTACAGCATATTGTTTTCTCTGGAGATATGATATTCACAATATTTTGGCTTTCATTGAAGGCCACTGATGTTGAACTAATCCTACAGGGAAAAGAGAAAAAATGGATCAGATTTTAAAAGAGACAGCCATTGGATTTTCTCGTCGGTTACCGCAAGAGAGCCACGGTGTACAGAGGGCGACACATGACCCGACGTGTAGTACAAAAGCAACAACAGTGCAAGCCTTGATCCCTGCAAACAAGGTCCACTGTGCTGAAGTAAATGATCGAATTACTGGATTAGATGTGCTGCATCATGCACAGCCGGAAATCACCAAACAAACTCCTGACAGTAATCAAGATGTTTGTTTGTTTGTTGTGTTCTTTCTTCAGGATGTGTCAAAGCGCAGAATTGCGGGTTGCAAGCAGGTTTTGTAATTGTCATTGTACAGTACAGAGCATGGGGAAAGATGCGCTCGTATTGATCCAGTTCTGGTCACGTGACTCCCTTGTCTTTGAGTGCTGAGCCAGTGGGTCCACAGGGAGCCAGGGGAAGGGAGGCACACAGCAACAGGGGAGCAGATGGAAAGTAAAAAGGATTCTAATTAGAAGGATGGGGTATAAATAATGACTGAGTAAGACTGCAGAAGCAACAAATTTGTCGAGCTAGAGCTTTCAGAGGAATCTGGAGTGGACGGAGTCGGAAAAAAGAGCGGAATAAAAAAAGGGCATGGGGAGGACACACCCGCCCCCTCCCCTTTGGATTACTGTACAGAGGAGCTATCCCATCAGCCCTTGGGGTGGAGCTGATGATCTCATGCTTGTGATCAGCCAATCAATAAAGAGCCGGTGCGATGGAGTGGAGTTCTGTGTCCCTCATTCTCAGTTGCTGCGCCACTCTTATCTTTGTGCAATGGACACACATGGCTTTCAGTCTGTCCATATGGGTGTGAGTGTGTTTGCGTTGTGTGGTTATTTGAGGCCTGTGAGCAGTGATAAGTGAACAGTTTGTCGTCCTGATGCCTCTCCTATTATGTTTTTATAGCAGTTCAGGTATCATGGATCACAGGATGTTTGTGTACACACTGGGCAATGTACTACCTTTTGTCACCCCTCAGATCTCTGCCAGAATTTTCACTTCATGATCTGTTTCAAACAATGATGGTAAAGTTGCCAATAACAAAGAATTTGATGTATGTGCAGTCATTTCATTTGGCAAATCGTAGCTTCACAGTGCTTCATCAGTCAAATATACTTGCTGTCAGACAGTTTACATGAGAGAGAGAGAGAGAGAGAGAGAGAGAGAGAGAGAGAGAGAGAGAGAGAGAGAGA